ATTTGTAGATTGGCATTCAACAGCCGATTAAAAACGGTAGTTAAGTTAGCTATGTGTTCCTCAAATGAACGACCAAGCACGATAATGTCGTCCAAGTAGGCAAACACTCGAGGACTTAATTCGGGTCCGATAATAGAGTCTAATATTCTCTGAAAGGTTGCGGGAGCCGAGTGGAGGCCGAAGGGCATCACCTTCCACTGAAATAAACCACGACCGGGTACCGTAAAAGCCGTGTATTGTCTGCTTCTTGGGTCCAGTGGAATCTGCCAATACCCATTTTTAAGGTCTATTGTCGAAATATATTTTGCTTCTCTGAGCTGATCCAGGATGGCGTTTATCTGGGGTAAAGGGTATGCGTCGGGTTCTGCAGCTGCATTTATCTGACGAAAATCAATACACATGCGCCATGTACCTTGTTTTTTACGTACTAGAACGACGGGCGAGCTATAAGGACTGAATGATGGTTCAATTCGGTCCATACGTAGTAATTCATCTACTTCTTGGTTCATGATCGTCTGCATCGCTGGATTTCGAGGATAATACCTCTGCTTTATGGGGCGATCATGTTTCATGGTGATTGTATGACACCCAGCATTGCAGGGTCCTTGTATGTCATTGAACGCCATCTTTATATTAGTGAGTAGAGATTCTAACTCACTTTCCTGGTGTTGGGATAAGAAGCTGCGGTTTACTACGGCATGAAGTGGTGGAGGGGACAAGTTTCTACACCCTGGCTCTGAAACATTTAGCCGTACCCCGTCGACACATAGCTCAACTTGTCGCCGCCGTAGGAAATCCATTCCTAGGATGACTGGTTCAGCTAAGTTAGCTAAGGCCGATGCTAGTAAGCGTGTGGACTGTCCATTAAACGTGACATTTATGGGATAAACTTTTACTCCCTCAATGCAAGTTCCATCCGCTAACTGTACCGATCTGTGCTGAATTCGTGGCCGAACGTGATTCCTCTCTAGATGCTGACGAACCTTTTCCCCTAGGTATGTCAGGGTAGAGCCGGTATCTACTAAAGCGCGAATTGGTAGATCGTTTACCACTATCATTAAATAGTAACGTCCATCACCTCTTATGTCTTGTTTTGATACCCTGCAAGGACAGTCCCGGGATAATATTCCATCATTCCCGCAGCGAGAACAGAACAGTCGTCGGTTGTTGGTGCACTGTACTCTAAAATGTCCTTGTTCTTTACACCTAAAACAAGTTATATGTGGTTCGTAGGTAGCACCGATGGTTGTATCTCCCATATAGTGACTCGGCTGAGGTTTATTTTGTTTTGCTTCCTCACGACGTAGCAGCTCGTATTCATCGGTGAGTTCCATCAACTCATCTACAGTTCTGAAATCAGTTCGTCGCACGTACAACTTATATTCACACCTTAAACCATCGTAAATTCTGTCAGTATGGTTAATTTTCCTTAATTCGGGATGTTGTCGGATTAATGTTTGCAATGTCATTATATAATCTTTTGCCTTTTCTCTTGGCCCTTGTTTACGATGGTAGATTGCCTCCTCTAAATGTGCCAAGTGCCTCTTCGGAAGGAAAAATCGAATTGCCTGTTCTTTAAATATTTCCCATGATTCGATTTCATTCCTTTTTACTCGGTACCACTGAAGTGCGCGACCTTTCAGGATTTCTAAAAGTGCGAACAGAAGTCTACTTCTGGAAAAGTTGTAGCATTCAGCTAACTCTTCCAGCCGCTCTATGAACTCCATTAGGTGCTCATCCCCTTCGTAGGTTAAGTCCCATCGCCGGATGGTGGACATAACCTCACTATCACTCGGTGAATTCTGAGTTGTATGACCGGGTGTCTTAACTGGGACTGGTAGTACCAGGCCTTCGTTTACAGGTTTCCTGTCTTCTGCCAAGACTTCCTCTTCCAACGCTCGAAGTAAGTTTTCAGATGAAGCACGCTCTCTTTTCTTCCGAATCAACTCTCCCAGTAAACGTCTTAGTTGATCGACTGTTGCCCCTTCCGTACTTATACCATTCTGGTGGCAAACTTCGACAAGCTTGTCCTTTCTTAAGAGGTATATCCATCCGATCGATTCCGTCTGTAGATAATGGCTACTATGGTGGTAATTCTTTGGATCCGCTCCGCTACCGTTGGTGGTGTTCGTAGTTTTTCCACTGGATTCGGTTTTGGAGTCGGGTCCCTGCTCGGGCGCCATTTGTGATGCAGTTTTTGTTTCCATCCGGGGTATGCCTAGTCTGTCCAGGTTCTTCAAAGGTCTGCTTCCTTTGACGTTTGATATACCACAGAGCTGCCTAGTATCTTCGGGAATGAATGGGTCTGGTACAATTCTTCACGGAGAGGTCGAAATCAATACTTCGGTTAAGAAGGCGATCTCGTCGGGTAGATATAACTATGAGTAGCTAGGGAATACAGTCGGTCGAGATAAGTGCTCTGGCTCTCGGTCGACTAACGACTATTGTTAATGATGAAATCCGATGAGATAAATGCGTTGGCTCTCAATCGGCTAACTACTAATTACGATCCGACGAGATAAATGCTTCGGCTCTCGGTCGGCGAACGACTATTGATAGTATAATGAGACTACGGATGCAATCCGAGGAGATAAATTCTTCGGCTCTCGTCGGCTAACTACGATTAGTTAAGGAATACAATCCGGCGAGATAAATGCTTCGGCTCTCGGTCGGCTAACGACTATCGATAATATAATGAGACTACGGATGCAATCCGAGGAGATAAATTCTTCGGCTCTCGTCGGCTAACTACGACTAGTTAAGGAATACAATCCGGCGAGATAAATGCTTCGGCTCTCGGTCGGCTAACTACGACTGTTTATAGTATAATGAGACTACGGATGCAATCCGAGGAGATAAATTCTTCGGCTCTCGTCGGCTAACTACGGCTAGCTAAGAAATACAATCCGACGAGATAAATGCTTCGGCTCTCGGTCGGCTAACTACGACTAAATACGGACTATAATCCGACGAGATAAATGCTTCGGCTCTCGGTCGGCTAACTACGACTGTTAATACTAAATACGGACTATAATCCGACGGGATAAATGCTTCGGCTCTCAATCGGTTAACTACTAATTACTAATAGCTACGGTCTACAATCCGACGAGATAAATGCTTCGGCTCTCGGTCGGCTAACTACTGGTTACGGTATGAAGTAAGAACTTTGGTACCACGGTTCTTGCTTGCTTTACTCCTTAATTCTCCAATCTCTTATATGAAAACTCACATAAACTATTTGCGACTTATAACACATTACGTTTAGCAAATAGTTAATTCTGGCAATAATAATAGTAGTAGTAGTGATAATGTAGAAAAGATATTGATAGTAGAAGAATGTATAGTAAATTATGATTTGTAACTGCACGTTACAAATTGAAAAAATAGTGAAAATCTGTGATCACCCAAATTTCTCACCAAAAATCGATTTTATATAGAAAACTTTAATCGGCTGTAGTTTCGTAAGTTTAGTAGTTAAAGTTTTAATCGTACTAAACACAGCCCTCGATTTTTTGTTTACTTCAGAAAGTTGCAAATCTGGTAGCACTATCAAAACATTTTATTTTTGCACTTTTTGCTTTGCAAATTTGGGAAAATTGTGAAATATTTAAGAAAATTTGCATTCACCCATAGAAATGCCAAAAGAAGATTGTAAATATTGGGATAAATGTTATCAGAAAAATCCTGCCCATCTGGATAAATACAATCATCCCAAAAAGGAAGAATCTAAAGCTGAAGAGAAAACTTCACCCAAAAAGGAGACAGCAAAGGCAGCACCAAAACGTAGATCCTCAGAAATGGAGAAGCCAGCTGGAACTGAAGAGACCGTAGAAAAATGTAAAGGGAAAGAAGATAAACCTAAATATGAAACTGAAGATTTGAAAAAAGAAGCTTTGAATAATATTAGTGGCAGAGATTGGATGGCTATGCTGCAGCAACGTATTAAACTGTCCGAACAGCAGGAATATGATAATTTGCTTAAAACTAATGAATTTTTGCGTCACAAATTTTTAGTGGAAATGCCACCAGATTTCTATGCTTTCTGGAAATTTTTAGAACAGTTTAAAAAGGATTTAAAGGGGGAGGAATTGTTGGCTTATGTAGAGAAAACATTTCAGCTAGTTTTGGTGGGACCATTTGAATTTTTGGCGGGAAAATTTGATAAAGCCAAATTGCACGAGCCAGGAGATTATCTGCGCCATTGGCGTTTTTACTATGATCCACCAGAATTTCAAACCATATTCGTGCGCAAAGGTACTGGCATACACTATGGCTATTGGCGCGATGATCCCCATGAAAAGGAAACTTTACTTATGGCCCGTAATGATGCTAATAAAGGTTATGAATTTGAATTCGTAGCAGGCAATGCGTTTGAGGCCTTTTTGTATTATTTGGATAAGGATTTTCAAGGTACACCCTTTACAGCGGCCACCGTAGCTAATGTTAAGAAATCTTTGCAGAAATTCATAGAAACTAACGAGGTGAAATTGGAAACTATGGAAAAATTGCGTAAAGCACGAAGCACTAAAGTAGTTTGTAAGACATTCCACCGTGCCGGCATAGTGGTGCCTTTCGAAAACAAAACCCAATTGGGTTATAGGCCTTTAATTGAAAGTGATGCTGAGTTAAAGAAAATTTTAAAACTATTTGAAACTGCTGGTGCGACTAAAGACAACAAAGAAGATCCGGTAACCGCCGCCATAATGGAAAAGCTACAACCTATTGCTACCGCAGCCACTATAGCAGTAGATGAATGTGATTTTGGTACTTCATTGGAATTGGGTATAGATTTATTTTGTAGTGGTTATACACAATTACATGCTTTAGTTCATTCGCTGCTGGTGCCAGCATATTCTTTGTTAAAAAGACCTCAGTTTATAGCTATTTCAAAAGCACATTTAGATCGCCGTATGAAATCTATACATTTGAGCATGTTTGATTATGATAAGTGAATTTGTTTTCAAGTCTTTTTTTTATAAAATAAAAGTATTAATAAAAAATTTACCATGTTTTGTTTGTTTTTATATAAAAAGAGTTAACATTTACAAAATTTCTCCTACCTATACCCTTCAAGTGTTAAACCAGTCACCTTTTTTAAAGTTCATTATGTTTCACATGTACAAATGTGAGTCATCCCGCTTTTTGGGCTTATAACTATCCAAACACTCTATATCCAAATCATGTAGAAGTTTTACAATAGGTTTAGCTGCCACAGGATCTAAAGCAATATTGTCAGTATAAGCCACATAGGATTGGACCTTTAGACCCTCATTAGAACGCCAAGAACAAACTAAAATGAAAACAATTGCAAGAAATAAAAATGATTTTGATACAATAAATTTATAAAACTTACTGCCGGCTGCCACACCAGCTATAAAATTGGGAGCCTCCAAAGCGTCAACATTATTCAATTTTCCTTCTATGGATCTTAGAAATGTTATTTCATCTCTTATGGCGGCTATATTTTCACTTTTATACTCGACTTTAGCTTTAATCGATAAAGTGATGACTTCATCGGGTTTACTCAAAGACAATAGGAGTTCAGTTATTTCCCCACTATTCGTAAGATCTTCCTCCACTATGGCTACTAACATTTCCTTGCTGGCCACATAGTGTAGAGATGAGTTTTTGCTAGGTATTTCCGCCAATTTTTGGGCATTTGTTAAAAGTGATGCTTCGGCAAATTCTGCTATAGAAGTACCCTCAATTACTAACATAACTTTAGCTTGGGAAGCTAATTTTTGTAACTCTTCCTCGGTAGTTTCATATTTGAATAAAAGTCTGTAAAGCTTATTTAAATTAAAATTTGTATGATAACAATTTGTTTTGAACTTACTTTTCCAAGTTTTTCTCTGGACACTCATCTTCATCACAGTCATCCCAAAATGCTCGTGAAGAGGGGATATTTAATTCACCAAAACCCATAGGACAACCCATTTTTAAAAGATTTTTTAATAAAATTTATTTAATTTGCAATATATAATTGTAAAAATGCAAATAATAACAAACACAAGTCATGCGGGGTATGTTCAGTGTAAAAGTTTGCGGTTTATGGAAGGGTTGCCAATATTAACCAGGCATGCAATTAATTGTAGATAATTTTAATAAACTTTTATATTACAGTTCAATGAACAGTGTTCCTTTCAAATTATATTAAAAAATATTAATTATTTAATAAATAAATAATATTTTTATTATGTATTACTTTCGGTTTAATTTACCAGCTTATATTAGTTTATATTCAAAGTGAAGTAGGCAACTCAGAACTTGTTTGTTCACTAAACACAGCTTCGGTCATCATTCAATTAAAACAGAGTTATTAACCTCACTAAAACAGAGCTGTTCAATTACAAAGTTGTGTGGTGTTTGTGAACAGAAAAAAGTAAATTTTAACAAAAATCTAAGAATTTTTCATGGTTTTTATAAAAATAAAACCAAAATATGGTATATAATAATCAAGAAAATGATAGTGGTAAGAGAAATTGATGAATTTATAATGTAAAGCAAATTAAAAACCAAAAATTATTTAAAGGCTCCGGCTCAGATTCTGATTCAAGTGGTAGTCGTAGCCGCAGTTCCAGTCGCAGCAGAAGTAATACACCGGAAAATGTAAAAGCAGGGTAAACATAACTTTATAAATTTAAATAAAAAATAACTAAATTTGAGCAAATTCCAGATCCGGCAGTGATCGTTCGCGGTCTGGCAGTCCAGCCGGCTCAGCTTCTGGTCGTTCTAGATCTAACTCTAAATCAAAGTCACGCTCACGTTCTCGTTCGGGCAGTGCTCATAGCAATCGCTCTGGTTCTGGCAGTCCCAGGAAATCACGTTCACGCTCTAGGTCAGGTACACCACATAGTAATCGTTCGGGTTCGGCGGGAAGTCATCATTCTAATGCTTCCAAGAGATCAGGATCAGCTGCCAGTCATCATTCAGCCGCCAGTCATCACTCGGGCGCCAGTCATCATTCGAATAATTCTAAAAGATCGGGTTCCGCAGTCAGTCATCATTCGAATGCATCCAAGAGATCAGGATCCGCTGCCAGTCATCATTCGAATGCATCTAAACGTTCGGGCAGCCGTACCCCTGCCGCTTCTCCCAAAGCAGCAGTAGCTGCAGGCAATGGGGCCAAAGGAAACGAGGAAGAATCAAGATCACAATCGCCCAATTTACAAATAGACGATCGGGCGGCCTCACGCTCTAAATCACGTAGCAGAAGTCGCTCAAAATCTGGTACACCACGTAAATCTCGTTCTCGCAGTAATTCTTCAAGATCGCGTTCTGGCACACGCTCTAGATCACGTTCCGGCACACGCAGTCGTTCGGGTACACCCCATTCCCACAAATCAGGCAGTGGCTCCGAATCGGGTAGTGATTTTGGCGGTAGTAAGGCAAAGAAAAAACGTAAAGCAGTATCCAGTGGCTCAGAGGGGGAGGGAGACAAGGAATCACCTTCGAAAAATAAAAAATCACGCATTATTGATTCAGACAGTGGCAGTGAAGCGGAAGAGGATAAAGCTAATAAAATTGATGCCCAAGATATTTTTGGTGACGCTGACGATATTAGTCTCTCCGAAGATGAGGGAGATGATGATAAAAAGAAATCAGATAGTGGTTCGGAAAAAGGTTCAACAAAATCACGTTCCAAATCAAGATCTAGATCACGTTCGAGGTCCTCTTCACGAGCCTCGGCTAGATCACGTTCCAGATCAAGGACTCGTTCACGCTCTCGCTCAAGATCTAGATCACGTTCGGCAGAGAGAGTAGAACAACCCAGGGAGGACGAACCAGAACCGGTGCCCGAAACCCGCATAGATGTGGAAATACCACGTATTGTCACCGATTTGGGTAGAGAAATACATTTCGTTAAGTTGCCCAATTTCTTGTCCGTAGACACCCGTCCCTTTGATCCCGAAACCTATGAAGATGAAATTGATGAAGAGGAAACCATGGATGAAGAAGGTAGACAACGTGTCAAATTGAAAGTTAGTAATACTTTGCGTTGGCGTGAGTATATGAACAATAATGGTGACATGGTTAAGGAGTCAAATGCCCGCTTTGTACGCTGGTCCGATGGCAGCATGTCTTTGCATTTGGGTAATGAAATATTCGATGTCTTCAAGCAACCCCTACATGGTGATCACAATCACATGTTTATACGTCAAGGTACCGGTCTACAGGGTCAAGCGGTTTTCCGCACTAAACTCACCTTCCGTCCTCATTCGACGGAATCCTTTACACACAAGAAGATGACCATGTCTTTGGCTGATCGTTCGACCAAGGTATCAGGTATTAAGATTCTCACCCAAGTGGGCAAAGATCCCAATGTGGATCGTCGTTATAATCTTAAGAAGGAGGAGGAGAAGCTACGGCAAGCTATGCGCGATCAACACAAGCCTCAGCCTAAAAAGAAAAAGAGAGATGATGCTCGTGGAGGAGCTCATGGGGCCTATCATCACGATGATGGTAGTGATGATGAAAATGCCATTTCTTTGAGTGCGATTAAGAATAAGTACAAAAAAGGTTCTTCCGGTACTGCGGGAGGAGATCAAAAAGCTTCGGCTATTTACTCCTCAGACGAAGATGATGGTTCAGATTTTGAGGGTAGACGCAGCAAGAAACATGTGGATAAAACTAAAGTGGTTAAGGCTTTGCGCGACTCTGATTCTGAGTCAGATGTGGAACGTGGCACCGACAAGGGATCCCACAGTGAGCATAGTGACAGTGGCGATGAAAGTGGTGGAGGTAAAAGTGGAGGCGGTAGTGGCAGCGGTAGCGGCAGTGGTTCCGGCAGTGACGATGAGTGAATGGGCAGAGAGAGACATAAAAATTTCTTCTTTTTAAGTATTTTTTTTAAATATTTTCTTTAATATGATGTGAAGTTTGGAAATGTACAATTTTTGTTTTCAATAAAAGAAATTGACAACATTAGAGTTTCCACTGTTTACGACTGTGTTCAGGTTTTAGAGTAAAAAGCCCTTCAAGATTTATTGGGATCAATTTTTGTTTTCAGTAAAAGAAACAACATTGAATTTATATTGTATTTCCACTTTTTCCCTCAGTGTTCCAGATTTTAGAGCAAACAACCCTTTAAGACCTAATTCAGATGTTTTACAATAACTTAATTTGTAAAAAACTTGGGACAAAATGTAAATTGAAACAATTTTTGTTTTCAATAAAATAAATTGACAACATTGGATTTATGTTGTATATCCACTATTTGCTCCAGCTTTCCAGGTTTTAGTGTAAAAAACCTTAATTATAAAAGCCTAATTTGTTAAAATTTGGACAAAACATTTAACGAAATCACAATTCAAATATTGGAGGGTTAAATCTGGCCAATTCTTTTTCTATCTTGCAATTCTATTCAAAAACTTACTGTTTCTATTAAAATATATCTTCCGTTTTTTTCGCAATTCACTTTTCTTTACAACGATAACGCATTTCAATTTCAAATCTTTCGATTCTTTCCTGTTTCTCCAACTCCATAATGCGCAGACGTTCCTCTTTTTCCATTTCCAATCTTTTCAATTCAAAGTTTTCCTTACGTTCTTTAACTTCTTCAGCAAATCGTTTTTCCTTTAACTCGAACTCCTTACGGAACTTTTCTTTTTCAAATTCAAATTTCATTTTTAAAAACGAACTTTTGTCACTCTCATTTAAACTAAAGTGATCTGTATAATTATTTTGATCGGTTTTAGTTAAATGTGTTATAAAATCTTGTTCCATTAATTCCGTTTGATTACAATTTCTTTCATCTGCACTAATATCGGCTGGAAAAGATGATTCAGGTGAAGTTGTAACTACATGTTCGGGAACTATTATTGTCGAATGATCTTCATTTTCTTCAGATTTTATGGCAGTTATAAAATATTCTTCAATTTTTTCATCCATTGCAGTTTCTAAGGGAAATGAAGGTTTAACATTAATATTACTCGAGGCATTTACATCAAAAGTTTCATTGGTGAAAATTTGCAATTTAGTTCCAAAAAGACAATGCAGATCTTCATAAAAACGACACATTTTTCGTAATTTTCTGTAACGTTTAAAAAAAATTATAAATCAATATAAAATTGTTATGGAAAATGTTCAGCAACCTTGTACATTTGGATCATTGGCTATTAAAGCGTTAGATCTTCTCCAAGTTTCTGCTTTTTTATATGTTGATTTAAGACTTTTAGTTTTCCAACGGCATAGATCCCAAGTAGCCTCAAGATTGGAGGCGTTTAAAAATTTTCTATAAAATATTTGAGCCGTGGGTTTCTAATGTTAGAAATAATTATCAAGAAAGTTTACTTTTACTTTCCATTTTATATAGCAAACCTCAAATTCTTCTTGCTCTAGCAAATATTCCAATAATTGTTTAGTTTCCGTATCAGACCATCGTTTATTGTGTCGTTTATCTCGATTGCGTTTTGCAATAGTTTTTGTACTTTTATCCATTTGTTTTTATATGTTATATTATTGCAAATGTTTTGTTTTATCTTGTAAACTTACAATAGCTAATTACTACTATTTTTTTGGTCTAGCTTTTTAACAACAGGGTTGTAAATTGTGGGTCAATACGGTTTAGTTTTGTTATGTATAACTTGGTTGCCACATTTGATCTTTGTTTTTGTGTTTAAAATCGCTTAATGATGGATGATTTTATTTATAATATAATATAAATTTGTATAATTCGTTAAAATTGGTATAAATATCGATTCTATACTAAACTATAGCTCAGGCTAAAGTCTAGTTTATCCTCCAGATTATAGTTTAGTCTATGATATGGACTATAGTATAGTTAATAGAGATCAGACTATAGTATAGTCTATGGGCCAGACGGATGTCTAGTCTAAAGTCCTAGCAATAGTCAAGATTTCAGTCCAAACTATAGTCAGTATTACACTCCAATAGGAAACAATTGTCCATTCTATAGTCGAGACTATAGTTTAGTCACTAGTTCAGACTATAGTCTAGTCTATAGTTCGGACTATAGTCTAGTCTATATTTCAGAGTGTAGACTAGTCTATAGTTCCGACTTTAGTCTAGTCTATAATTCAGACTTTAGTCTATTCTACTATAGTTCAGACTATAGTCTAGTCTATAGTTCAGACTATAGTCTAGTCTATAGTTCAGATTATAGTCTAGTCTATAGTTCAGACTATAGTCTAGTCTATAGTTCAGACTATAGTCTAGTCTATAGTTCAGACTATAGTCTAGTCTATAGTTCAGACTATAGTCTAGTCTATAGTTCAGACTATAGTCTAGTCTATAGTTCAGACTATAGTCTAGTCTATAGTTCAGACTATAGTCTAGTCTATAGTTCAGACTATACTCTAATCTATAGTTCCAACTTTAGGCTAGTCTATAGTTCAGACTATAGCCTAGTCTATAGTTCAGACTATAGTCTAGTCTATAGTTCAGACTATAGTCTAGTCTATAGTTCAGACTATAGTCTAGTCTATAGTTCAGACTATAGTCTAGTCTATAGTTCAGACTATAGTCTAGCCTATAGTTCAGACTATAGTCTAGTCTATAGTTCAGACTATAGTCTAGTCTATAGTTCAGACTATAGTCTAGTCTATAGTTCAGACTATAGTCTAGTCTATAGTTCAGACTATAGTCTAGTCTATAGTTCAGACTATAGTCTAGTCTATAGTTCAGACTATAGTCTAGTCTATAGTTCAGACTATAGTCTAGTCTATAGCCCAGAGTGTAGTCTAGTCAATAGGCGAAACAATAGTGCAGTCTATAGTTTAGTCTCTAGTTCAGTTTGTTGTTCAGATTGAAAACTTCTAAGAAATGTCTAAGAAAGTTTTGCATAAAATAACTTTATTTTAAAAACACTTAAAATATTATATCCTTATAAATCTAAATTTCTAATCCTTTTTTCCACAACCATATTTCATTTCAATTTCAAATCTTTCGATTCTTTCCTGTTTCTCCAACTCTAAAATGCGCAAACGTTCGTCCTTTTCCAATTGCAACTTTTTTAACTCGAAATTTTCCTTTCGTTCCTTAATTTCTTCGGCAAATTTTTTTTCCTTTAATTCGAATTCCTTGCGAAATTTTTCTTTTTCAAAATCAAATTTCATTTTTAAAAATAAACTTCTTTCGCTTTGTCCTTCACCAACATGATTCGATGCTCTAACATCCCTCGCTTTAGACAATTTTGCGGGATATTCTTTTTGCAAGGATTCTTTACAATTAAGATTTCTTTCTTCATCGTCTGTTTCCAAAGGTATGGATAATTCGGCAGAATTAGTGTCCGAATGAAGAGGTTCTAATAAAGAAGCATCATTTACATTTTCTTCGGTTTTTATGGCGCTCAAGCAATATTCATCCATACTTTCTTCCATGGCACTTTCGTTGGCATAATTCCTATTGTAATTGGCCATACTATTACTGTCTAAGGTTTCATAGCAGATATTTTCAAATGTATTTCCAAACACTTGATGCAAATCATCATAAAATCGACACATTTTATTTAAAGTTTCTAAAACGGTTTCAGTTCGGTATAAATTATTTAAAAATACCATAAAAATGAATAAAAACCTTTAATATTCGGTTGCGTTTCCACAAATCCATTGGATCTTCTCCAATTTTCTGCTTTTCTATAGTTTACTTTAAGATTTTTAATTTTCCAACGACATATAGACCAGGAAGCATCTAGGTTGCAAGTTTCTAAAAATTTTCTATAAAATATTTGTGCAGTGGGTTTCTAAAACATACATAACATTTTATTATTGCTTATTACAACTGCACACGGTCAATTTTCCATATAACCACCAACCTCAAATTCTGGTTGTTCCTTTAAATATTGCAATAATTGTTTGATTTCATTATCAGCCCAACGTTTATTGTGTCGTTTATCACGTTTTCGCTTTACAATAGTTTTTGTAGTTTTATCCATTTTTATTTATTTTGTTTAATACGATTGTAAAATTTACTTTTGTTTTGCGAATATACTACATGTATTTACTACACAATTTTGTTTTGTATAGCATTTTAACAACAGCGTTGTAAATTATGGTTTAGTATTTTGTGGTTTTTGTTGTACAATATAAAGTTGCCAGATTTTATGTTTTTTCTTTTGCGGAAAAAAATCGTCTATTGCCAATCGCCAATTGTTATGTTAATATTCTCTCGTAATAAGTAAAAGTACGGGCCTGCTATAGTCGAGACTATAGTCCAGTCTATAGATTAGGTTATAGTCAAGACTAATAGTCTACTACTGTCTAGTTTATATTTAAGACTATAGTCTAGTCTATGGTCTTGACTATAATAAAGTTGAGACTATAGTCAATACTATAGTTTAGTTTATAGTCGAGACTATATTCTGGTCTGTAGTCGATACTATAATCTAGTCTATTGTCGAGACTATAGTCTAGGCTATTGTCGAGACTATAGTCTAGGCTATTGTCGAGACTATAGTCTAGTCAAAAGTCGAGACTATAGTCTAGTATATAGTCGAGACTATAGTCTAATCTATAGTCGAGAGTATAGTCTACCTTATAGTCGAGACTATAGTCTTATCTATTCTCGAGACTAAAGTCTAGTCTATAGTCGAGACTATAGTCTGGTCTACAATCGAGACTGTAATATAGTCTACAGGCGAGACTATAGTCCACTCTATAGTCGAACACAGTGTAATCTATTGTCAATTCTAAATTCTAGTATGTAGTCGAGACTATAGTCTATTCAACATTCTAGACTATATTATAGTCTAGATATAGTCGAGACTATAGTCTTGTCTATAGACGAGTGTATAGTCGAGACTGTAGTCTAGTCTACAATCGAGACTATAGTCTAGTCTACAATCGAGACTGTAATTTAGTCTACAATCTACTCTATAGTCGAGCATAGTGCAATCTATACTCAATACTATGGTCTAGTCTGTAGTCTATATTCTAGTCTGTAGTCGATTCTATAGTTTAGTCTAGTCTATAGTCTAGTCAACAGTCAAGACTATAGTCTAGTCTATGGTCTAGTCTATAGTTTAGTTTATAGTCTAGTCTATAGTCTAGTCTGTACACTTGACTATAGTATAGTCTAGTTTATTGTTTAGTCTATAGTCTAGTCTATTGTCTAGTCTATAGTCTAGTCTATAGTCTAGTCTATAGTATAGTCTAGTCTATTGTCTAGTCAATAGTCTAGACTATGGTCTAGTCTGTAGTCTATATTCTAGTCCGTAGTCGATTCTATAGTTTAGTCTAGTCTATAGTCTAGTCAACAGTCAAGACTATAGTCTAGTCTATGGTCTAGTCTATAGTTTAGTTTATAGTCTAGTCTATAGTCTAGTCTGTAGTCTAGTCTATAGTCTAGTCTAGTATATAGTCTAGTGTAGTATATAGTCTAATCTAGTATATAGTCTTGTCTAGTATATAGTCTAGTCTAGTATATAGTCTAGTCTAGTATATAGTCTATTCTATAGTATAGTCCAGTCTATTGTCTAGTCTTAATCTATTCTATAGTCTAGTCTACAGTCTAGTTTATAGTCTAGTCTGTAGTCTAGTCTATAGTCTAGTCTATAGTCTAGTCTATAGTCTAGTCTATAGTCTAGTCTACAGTCCAGTCTACAGTCTAGTCTATAGTAGAGATTATGTCTAGTCTATAGTCGGGAGTATAGTTTAGTCCATAATCGAGACTTTAATCTAGAGTATAGTCTATAGTGCAGCCTGTAGACGAGTCTATAGCCTAGAATAGAATGAAGTCCATAATCCAGTCCATAGTGGAGTCTAGTACATAATTAATTATTGTTTTTAATTCTCTTTCAAATAATTGCAACACTCTTAGTTAATACTTTAATAATTTAAATCTTTATTAAATATTTTGTTTTGTTTTTGAATTTATCTGTTTTTTTATATAATAAATTATTCGTTAAAATTTAACGCTAACATTTTATTATAGAATATGTATTTATTTGAAACTTATGCGTTTTTTTTTTCGTTCAATTTTATATTTATTAAGGGGTTGCTATAGATTTTTGTTTAAATTCAATTGATATTATGTTTTGGGGGTAATATATTTAAACAATATATTTCTATGATTTAAAATTGTAACAGTTTTATGTAATTTAGAAAAGGAGGAGTTAAAAAAGGGGCGTGGTTGTAATTAGGTTTATTTTATTTAAATATTAAAAAAAAAAAAATAAAACAAAAAGAAAAAATACTTCAAATCAACATGTACATTTTTTTAAAAAAGTTAATTAATGTTTAATTATTTAAAAAGGAGGTACATACATTATTATTTATTTATATTATTTTATTTTTAATTGATATCATTTATTTTTTATTATTTAATTATAAATAAAAAATACATGTGTTAAATGGTAAAATAACTAAAAAATTAAATTCATTATAAAAAAAAATAAGTAAAGAAAACAAATAAATTTTGTTTAACTTAAAGCTAATATTTGATTTTTTTCTTTATTAAATACATAGAGATGATTTTTTTAAATTGTTTTTTGCAATTTATTTCAATTTGTTTTTGCCGAGAGGAGAAACTAATATTGTTCTGACGGTGTTTTAATTGTTCGTTTATAAATTGTGCGTTTTTTTTATATTTAAATGCAAATAGAGAAATTATAATTGTTTTATTAAAAAAATAGCGGAAAAGGAAGAAAATTTAGCGATTTTTATTTGTTTTTCTATAAATGCAAATATTTGTAATTTTAAATCACTAATTGAATAACAAATGGGTATTTTAGTCATAAACCTATAAAAACATTAACTGTGTTCACATTTAAAGTTCTATGTACTTGACAAACAACTTGTCATTCACTTGAAACTGTTAGCTTAAAACTTTAGGTTTTATTAACATTCCACATAATGTTTTATTTCTTTTAAAATCACTTAATTTTCCACTTCTTTTAATTGCTTTTCTTTTTGCTAATTAATTGAACAATATAAAATCAGTTTAACTTTTTAAATGCTTAAAACAATAAATACAAAAAAAAAAGAAAATTAAGTACAACCAGTACTTATGTATAAATAATCTAATATTAAATAGATTTTAAAACGTTTTAAAGAAAAAATGTTTTAAAAACATTTTTCTTAAAAATTCTTTCATTCTTTGTTTTTGTTTATTAAAATCAAGGCCTAAATTGGATTGTTTTTTTTTTCTTGTATTATAAAAACTTTAAATACAACTACTGTTTAATTATATATAAAAAAATACAAATTATTTAAAGTAGTTCATATAAATACTTTTACACACTTACTCTCTGGTTGTTAGCGCATTAGTTAGTTAGGGGTCGGTCATCATCGGCAGTTTGAAGAGTGCGATTTAATTCTCTATAAAATAATATTCTTATAATAAACGGCTTAACAATTAATAAAAGCGAGATTGCACTACAGAGTCCTTGGAAATGAAACATCTTAATAACACTCTGTACTCTTTTTGTTTCTTTTTCGATATCGGCAAAATTTAATAACAAACTTTAGGCCAAAAGTCCTTGATGGGTTAAACTTAAAAATACTATCAGCAGGCCTAGAAGAAAAGTGTTGAGTTCTAGTTTAGTTTAAGTTCAATTATAGTTCAATTTCATTTCATTTAAATTTCAGTTCTAGTTCAGTTCAAGTTCAGTTCTAGTTCAGTTCTAGTTCAGTTCTAGTTCAGTTCTAGTACAGTTCTAGTTCAGTTCTAGTTCAGTTCTAGTTCAGTTCTAGTTCAGATCTAGTACAGTTCTAGTTCAGTTCTAGTACAGTTATAGTTCAGTTCTAGTTCAGTTCTAGTTCAGTTCTAGTTCAGTTCTAGTTCAGTTCTAGTTCAGTTCTAGTTCAGTTCTAGTTCAGTTCTAGTTCAGTTCAAGTTCAGTTCAAGTTCAGTTCTAGTTCAGTTCTAGTTCAGTTCTAGTTCAGTTCTAGTTCAGTTCTAGTTCAGTTCTAGTTCAGTTCTAGTTCAGTCTAGTCAGTTCTAGTTCGTTCTAGTTCAGTTGCTAGTTCAGTTCTAGTTCAGTTCTAGTTCTGTTCTAGTTGCATTTCTAGTTCAGTTCCTAGTTCATGTTCTAGTTCATGTTCTAGTTCAGTTTCTAGTTCATGTTCTAGTTCAGTTCTAGTTCAGTTCTAGTTCAGTTCTAGTCAGTTCTAGTTCAGTTTCGTAGTTCAAGTCGTTCTAGTCCAGTTCTAGTTCAGTTCTAGTTCAGTTCTACGTTCCAGTTCTAGTTCAGTTCTAGTTCAGTTCTAGTTCAGTTTCTAGTTCAGTTCTAGTCAGTTCTAGTTCAGTTCTAGTCAGTTCCTAGTTTCAGTTTCTAGTTCAGTTCTTCAGTTCTAGTTCAGTTCCAGTTCAGTTCTAGTTCAGTCTAGTCAGTTCTAGTTCAGTTCGTCAGTTCAGTTCAGTAGTTCAGTTTCTAGTTCAGTTCTAGTTCAGTTCTAGTTCAGTTCTAGTTCAGTTCTGTTCAGTTCTAGTTCAGTTTCAGTTCAGTTCTAGTTCAGTTCTAGTTCAGTTCTAGTTCAGTTCTAGTTCAGTTCTAGTTCAGTTCTAGTTCAGTTCTAGTTCAGTTCTAGTTCAGTTCTAGTTCAGTTCTAGTTCAGTTCTAGTTCAGTTCTAGTTCAGTTCTAGTTCAGTTCTAGTTCAGTTCTAGTTCAGTTCTAGTTCAGTTCTAGTTCAGTTCTAGTTCAGTTCTAGTTCAGTTCTAGTTCAGTTCTAGTTCAGTTCTAGTTCAGTTCTAGTTCAGTTCTAGTTCAGTTCTAGTTCAGTTCTAGTTCAGTTCTAGTTCAGTTTCTAGTTCAGTTCTAGTTCAGTTCTAGTTCAGTTCTAGTTCAGTTCTAGTTCAGTTCTAGTTCAGTTCTAGTTCAGTTCTAGATAAGTTCTAGTTCCGTTCCTTCGTTCTTACCTGCAATTGTATTGAATTCATCTCATAGCCGCCCTTGCTTTGCATTTGTGTTTGTATTGCATTTAAATGATTGGTCGACAATTCTACATCGGCAGAACCAATATGACCGGTATGTTGAAAATTCGTAGGATTACCAATCATAGAACGATCGAT